GGAGAGGCGGGTGCAGAGAAGATTCACAATCAGGCCAGCTGTAGAGAAGACCCTCTCAGCTGGAATTTGGGCATAAGATGAGGTTTGAGTCTGCGTGATCTGCGTGTAGGGAGGGGCAGCAGCCATATCATTAGCTAGAACTAGCTAGATCTGATGGATTTGGACATAAACGCGAGTGAAGTATAACCAGGTGCGAGAGAGAGAGAGAGAGAGAGAGAGAGATCAGCACCTGCAGCCCTGCCCGCTGTGAAGGACCGGTGAGTGGAGCAAAACACACCTTTAGACCTTTAGAACACACTTAGCTATGGCACTATTGTATACATTGAATTATTCAATTTGATCATATGAAATTAACTTAGGCACCCCTCCCAAAAAAAAAAAAATTACAATAAAATATTCATAACTCATATTCTCATATTTTAATACCTGAATAATTTTGAATATACGATTAATCGTTCCCATCCCTACTTTTAAGTTGTATATCTAAAACTAGTTGCATATTCCTAAACTGCATTTAAGTTAAAGAGCATCTTGCAGGTTTTTATTTTTTCTACATTTATGCTTAAACTTGCTTGAAAATTACAATTAAAAAAGTGAATGCAGGATTTGATATGTTTTACGAGACATAAGGGCAGGAATTCAGAGGGAAAGGAGCAATTTTGAGCTCTGCTCTTAAAAACGGCTTTTTTTTAAGGTCATACGTCAAACGCGTCATATTATATCACACAGGGGACACATCTCCGCTCTCTGACCGCGGGTATAGTAGAGCGGTTGTGTTTTAGTGAGCTGGTATTTTTCGGTAGTTTTACATTGTATTTTACCATTTGTAATCATGGTGCAGTATTGTGTTTGTGCAGGTTGCACAAATACCAGCCTGTCAGGACATCGAGTCCACAGTAAAAAGGACCGGAGCTAGCGTTCGTTCCTGGGTGCGTTGTGCATCCACCTCCCTGCAGCACATACTCTCCACAGCTTTATCAGTAAACCGTATTACTTCTCTTCCCCCCCTCCCCCCTTCACTGCTCTATCGCTCTCCCCTCCGGTACACGGCACCGTAAGACTAGTGTGGAGTTGCATTAGGTAACGCTTTGGTGGCTGTACTGCTCCAGCCGTCTCCTTTGTGTTTGTTTGTTTCCCCCTGTCTGTGTTGTTTGTGTGTGCGTGGTGGCTGTCACTCCTGGCTCCCGGCTCAACCTCCACTCACCTGCTGCAATCAGCTGTGCACCCTCCCCGACTACATGCCTGCTTTCCATCTAGCCATTTACAACGGCAACGGAGGCTCCACAACCTTTCTCCGCCAGATCGTCAAGTATTATCCGTATCTCGCGTCTCCCCTCTGGTACACAGCTCTGTAGTGTGGAGTTGCATTAGGTAATGCGAGATACGGCTGATACTTGCGCATTAGTTTCTGTTATGGATCAGTATCAACAGTCCTGCCAGTAACGTTACTATATTATCAATACTACTTTAGTTATAGCCTGATATATGATAGCTAACTTTACAATGTTGTGATGTGACGTTAGCTAACAATCTGTAGCTAACGCCGGTCACTCACGAAGATAGCTGCCCAGTTCTCCACTGGTTCTCCTCACACCACAGCTCAATTTCTCTCCGATGGCCGTTATTTCTTCTAATCCTTGGCTGCTCCTGGTCTCTTGGACGCCTAGCAGGCTCATAATTATAAGGTTGTGGTCCGTCATATGCATTCGAATATTCATGTTCAACTTATTCTGTGTCGAAACTAGCATTGGGATCCATGTTTATTAATACGTTACACCTGCCGCTCTCCCCCTTGTGTCCCCCGTGTTACGTCACACGCGGGAGGTCACGTGCGGAGGCTTTTTTATGCGGAAGTGAAAATGTCTTACAAAAACGATGCCAGATGTCACTGTAGTGTATATTTCTGTATATTTTTTTGAAAATCTAGTGTATTCATCATTTTCCTACACATTTATTCACAGGTGTCTTTAACCTGGAAGTTGCTCTTTAAGGGTGATTCAGTGCTGGCTAAGGGTAGGTGGTGGTTTATTTTGTCCCTGAGAGTTATAATTGTATCGTTAAAGAAGTTCATAAAGTCATTACTACTGATGGATGTAGGAATAGAAGACTCAATGGAGATGTGACTCTCGGTCAGCCTGGCTACTGTACTAAAAATAACCTGGCATTGTTTTATTTTCTTCTATTAGTGAGGAATAATAAGCTGCTCTGGCAGTGGGTAGTGCCTTCTTATATTTTTTAAGGTTATCAAGCCAGAGTAACCAAAATTCTTCGAGCTCGGAGGANTATTTTTCGGGTAGTTTTACATGTATTTACCATTTTAATCATGGTGCAGGTATTGTGTTTGTGCAGTTGCACAAGATACAGCCTGTCAGGACATCGATCCACCAGTGAGCGGGGGGGCGTGAGCGTTCGTTCCTGGGTTGCGTCTGTGCATCCACCCCTGCAGCACATCGTCTCCACAGGCTTTATCAGTTAAACCGTATTACTTTCTTCGCGCCCCCTCCCCCTTCACTGCTCTATCGCTCTCCCTCCTGTAGCGCGCGAGCAAGGAGTTGCCCGAGGTACACGCTGTGTGTGGCGTACCTGCTCCAGGGTCTCCTTCTGTCGGTTTGTTTTTGGGTTTCCCCTGTCTGTGTTGTCTTGGTGTGCGTGGTGGCTGTCACTCCGCTCAGCTGCAACGCTCACTCACCTGCTGCCATCCAGCTGTGCGACCGCTCCCCAACTACCACACCTGCTTTCCCTTCAAGCATTTACAACGGCAATCAACAGGTTCACAACCTTTCTCCACCAGATCGTCAAGTATCAGCCGGTATCCTCGCGTCTCTCCTCCGGCGTACACAGCACGGAGGTGTGGAGTTGCATTAGGTAACGCGCGAGGGATACGGCTTGATACTTTTGCGCATTAGTTTCTGTTATGGATCAGTATTCAAACAGTCCTGCCAGGACCGTACTATATTATCATGCGCTGGCTTTATTATAGCCTTATAGCCTGATATATGATAGCTAACTTTACAATGTTGTGATGTGACGTTAGCTAACATTCTGTAGCTAACGCCGGTCACTCACCAAGATAGCTGCCCAGTTCTCCACTGGTTCTCCTCACACCACAGCTCAATTTCTCTCCGATGGCCGTTATTTCTTCTAATCCTTGGCTGCTCCTGGTCTCTTGGACGCCTAGCAGGCTCATAATTATAAGGTTGTGGTCCGTCATATGCATTCGAATATTCATGTTCAACTTCTTCTGTGTCGAAACTAGCATTGGGATCCATGTTTATTAATACGTTACACCTGCCGCTCTCCCCCTTGTGTCCCCCGTGTTATGTCACACGCGGGAGGTCACGTGCCGAGGCTTTTTTATGCGGAAGTGAACATTTCTTACAAAAACGACGCCAGATGTCACTGTAGTGTATATTTCTGTATATTTTTTTGAAAATCTAGTGTATTCATCATTTTCCTACACATTTATTCACAGGTGTCTTTAACCTGGAAGTTGCTCTTTAACTCATGTGAAATCATTTTATTTTCTCCCTGCCAGCAATGGTTTACGGTTCTTGTTGCTAGCAAGATGTGTATTCAGATATTTAGTAATAATCTATTCGTACACTGATTGCTGTAGGTGAACGATGTTGTCGAACCCTTACCTTTAAAATTGCATCATCACTTTATTTCTCAATGAGCTGCTTTTATCAGTTTGTAAGTAGGTGGCTTTGACAAAAGCAAAGTAACAGAAACTTGGCACACTTAGGTGGAGACCAAAAGCCGATGAAAAAGAAGGACAGTTTGAGGAAATGAATGTAAGATTAAAGAATTGGACCAGTAAAGCAGAAGAGCCAAGTGGACCAATTATCTTTACCCAACTATATATCAGGTCCACTTCACTTCCTTTCCTCTTCTTCTGCTGCTTCAGACCACAGCATGTTTTAATATGTCTATAGTCTTTATCTAATAAAGTATATTGCTTTTCTATTTTACCATACTGTGGGTCAGAGCAAAGGCTCAGTCATGGAACACTTCATGGTCTAGTTGAATTTCCTTTTCAGGAAAACGGCATACAGTAAATGACAAGAGTCAGAAGAAATCAAAGGAGAGGAAGTACAAGAGGGAACAGATGGATGGATGGCTGCAGCTTCTCACACTTTATATAATAATGTGCCAATAATGAGTAGCAATGCAAAACTGTAAATAAAAGCTGCACCTGTGACGGAAACCCTAGCATTGCCAATATCAGGCAGCATCAACACATATTTGTTCTTTGCATGAAACTTAATATCTGTGGGGGCTTCTTCACAATGCAACCAAGATGCTTGCTTAAGCATTGAAGCGAATGTAACAGCGTGGACAGGGGGTGTTTCTCAATCTCGAGTAAAGCTGCTCCAGAGCCACTATTTCAAGCATAATACGTCATTGAGTGCCGCCGAAGTACTGTTCCAATGTCCAGCATACTTGGAATTCTACCGAGCCCGGCGTACTTCGTTTGGAGAAATTTCGAGGCTGCACATGTGTAGATTCCGCGGTCTTAAAATCCCCACAATGCTTTGCACACGGACCAATTTCCCCAAATCTGTGGAAGAAAATGTAAACCGGGGCCTCTCATATGACGCACACCTGCACACTTACTAGCCTGTTCTACTCTTTGTTTTTCCAAATGCCAGGAAGTATTCTTGCCTCGCTTCTGAAGCAAGACGCTCGGAAGACATGTGCTACCAAGCAAGCGTACTCGAGATTGAGAAACACCCAGTGTGTCTATTCCACCAACGGACTTACCCAGATTATCAGCTGCAGTTCAGCACAAGCAGAAGGATGGTATCAGGGAGAGGAAAGAGATCAAAGTCAACTGAAAACCTGCCAGCATGTAACGCTAACGCATGACATAAAGGTGCAGAAGTGTGTGTCTGTTGGAGTCAATGACTGTTAAGCCAAACACAGAATCAGTATGTTTTCTTTTGAAAGATAAACCATTATTATGTTTTTCCCAACTTCCTGTTTTTCTATTTGTTGGACATGTTTGGTAAACAGAAAGGAGAGTCACATGGACAACACTTCGAGTGCTCACACATTTTATGGTCTCAAGCTCAGCATTGTTTAATGATAATTAAAGTCATGCAGACAGCTGTATGTAAATGAGACACATGTTATGTAGCAGTATTAGTAATGATCATGTACAGTATAAGTTACATTCCAAAGTAAAATGTACTGCACAGTAGGAGTAGGAATAACTTTAACATTTTCTTCATTTGTATTAATAGTTTCTTGCATTTATTTTCTAGAAATCGGTTGACATTAGGATTCTGAGACATCCAGTGATTCAGACCTAAAACTATCATCATCTCTAAACACACTGGAAGCATATTCCTTGTATTTCTGTGTACGTAGGTACAACTTCAGCCAAGAGAACTGCAGAAGGGAAAAGCCCCTGCCCTCTCAGAGTGTTTACCAAGTAAGGTAATGTTTAGCGGCACTAAATCTCTCTAGTCTAATCACTCAGGACAGACTTCTTCTATACACATCACTGCAGTCTGATGAGAACTATATACATAGGATCTGGACATCTTCCCATTTTCAAACACGAGGTGGCATTTTTCCCCCCAAGTTGTTTCTACAACTGAAGCCTTTCATGCATCAATAATCTTATTTTTCCTGTAGGTCTATAAACGTAAACAAACCACTTCCAAAGCTCAGGTGCATATTTTCAAGTATTAATTAATTACAGCATCTGGATCCTGTCAATGTTTTGAAATTCTTCCATCCTGATGCACACTAGTTAGTTTACACAACAGTCAGACCAAAAATGAGGCTGTACCTGTGAAACCCAGATTCTGGGAACATGTATATGACTAATCCGTTTGCGTGAGGGACATAAACAGTTCAAGTTTCGATGTTCCCGATTAAATTGCAAACTAAAAGAGGATAACAAAAACATTCTGCTAGTTTGCTTTCCAATAATTCAATCTGAACAAATTCTTTGAGGACACTTGAGACTGAAATATTTCACTAAGCTTGGCTTGCAATGCTTTAAGTCCTTAAGTGTGTGATCCCTGTACTTAAGTTGTTTTTATTCCTGCACAATAAGAATATTATGCAGGTTTCTATTTTGTATCATGAACTTTTCTTTCGTTTTCATACTCTGGTAAAAATGTAACGACTCCATGAGAACAAGAATTAGTTCAAGATTTGTGTTAATCACTTTAAGATGAACTATAGCTATTAATGTTATTTTTGATCATTCACAAGGTTTGGTTTATATAAATAATGACAGTGATGTTTTTTTACCTTTCTTTGCTTTCTTCTGAAGTTTCAGTGTGTCCGAGGATTTCTTTTTAATTTCCTGCCGGGCTCTTTTATACTCTGGTACAGATGGACAAGATAACAAAAGAAAACCAAATCTGTGAAAACGTATTGCTAATTTACAGTTTTCCATAGACAAAGTTATATCATGTGGAACAGAAGAATAATCAAAAATACTGAAGCACATCATTGAACATTGGTTAAAACGTTGTCACTTTACATCGCTTTAAAATGTAAAATGTGTATCCTATTGTCGAAGAAGATTCTTGATCAGCCAGTTGTGTTATTGTTACATTCTTCTCTCCTACCTTTAGCATGGTCCTTGTCCAAAGTGTTGACTCCTCTTTTCCAGTCCTCCATCTGTTCTTGTAGAGGGTTGATCATTCCCTCCAGGAAGGCCCTGTGAAAACACCGGACATTTACTACTAATCTGGGCTGCGCTTCATCACTTTAACCATTCAAATCTATCTCAAGTTAAACTATTACAAACTCAAGTTGTGACTATTGGAATTAATCATAAACACTGATTGGGTTCACTATTTTCATGAATCACATCCAAAAAACATTTTATTTAGCAATCATATTACCAAACAAACTTTATTTCAAATGTGAACAACAAGACCTGCTCTGCAGGGTTTGTCACGATAACTGTCACCTAATTATAAACTGGCAGACAGACTGCAGACAAAATCATTATGTCTGGTTGGCCTTTCTGTCTATAAACTGTTTGGTCTATTATGTCAATCATTAACAGGCAGAGAAAGGGGAGGAGGAAAACAGAGACTGAGGTAAGAAACAGTCTGCCTATGTCTGACTGTGAGTCACAGGAGGAAGCAAGAAGCTGCTGCAGTCATGTCTGTCAATCATTACCAAACTGTGTCCGTCTTGTATTTGAGATGTATTTGTGAGTGTGAGAGGTGGGCAGCTGCAGGCTTACTGCATGAAACTAAAATTAGACTCCCTCTTGTAGACATTTCTCCAAAAGTGAGTGTGTGTCAGTGGGTGGGGGGGCAACCACAGCCCCCTGCGTACAGCCTCTGCTATGGAGATCCAAGTGGAATCTCTACTGAAATGCCACCCGAAATTAGAGAGCCCCTTGTCTGTGCAGTGTGTGCGTGTGCGTGTGTGTGTGTGTGTGTGTGTGTGTGTGTGTGTTAGAGAAAGAGATGTGGTATGTGTGGCAACACTGAAACATTAGAGATACTTGTGTTGCCAGACAAATCGTCTCTTTCCCAGAAAATCCCAGACGGGCGGCATTCTCACCCACACACAATAAATGTCAAGAAATGGAGGGTATGCTGAGATTTGAATGCAGACCATTTTATTTGAGTGAGGGAAACAGTTTACTTATATAGGAAACACTGCAAAAGGCAATAAAGTCATATGTTTATCTTTGAAAGTTTTAAAAGCTTGTTGCAGAGAATTTTGGTCTGCAAAAGAAAATGTTTTTCGTAACTTTAGAGGGGACCTTTATTGGACATACAGTATGAACTACGTGTAATGCCTTTTCAGCACAATTAAACCACAGTGATGGGGCTTATATACATGGTTAGCTCAATTAAATTCCCGCTTCCACCCTACAACCCAGCCAATCCTTCACCAGAATTGCACGAGAGATATATATATTACATCCTGTATTTTGGTAAATATGGAGACAAAGTAAAGGTAAAAAAGCAAACCAATACATGTGATGTGTTGCTTACATGGAGAACTGTTTGAGTTTGGCCTCTATGCTGCGATGTCTCATACACATCCTGGTCAGCGCTGATCCAATGTCTTTGGTTCCACCTGAAAGAAATAAAGAAAGACAAAGAATTACTATTTACATAGGCTTTTAATGACGTAATTGCTAATATCCACAACTCGTCTGCACAGCCAGTACACAGTGCTTTAGCTTTCCAAGTCTGTTTTAGGGTTTGATTGTCTGAATTGATTCACTAATAACATGTTGAGTTACATTTCCATTACATCAGCACTGCAGCTGCGTCATTTAGCAGGATCTCCTAATACATAGGTAACTAAATAGCACAACACTGAAATACAGACACAGGGATTTTAAAATGTGCTGCATTCAATCATATGCGAAGAAATGCTACTGAACTACACCAACAACAATCCATCATTTCTTCTTCTTGTTTTCTGTGCATCTAAGAACTGAATGTACAGTAAACAAATGTAGTATATTGGAGTACAGTATACAGTATTCAGCTAATCTTGTTAGTTAACTTCATTATAGACTTTTGCCTGTACTTTCTAAAAACATCTGTAACAAGCACTCACTGAGCCCACGCGCTCAGTGGAAAACACTGACTTATGACTGGCACATGTATTCAGGTCCAAAAAGTAATGAGGAGTTGGAGCTGGAGCCTTTACATGCTTCAGGCCAGTGTCAGTTTCCTGCTCACAGGATAACAAGCTGTCTACTGGAAGGCCTCAGGCTCTCCGGCAGCTAAGCAGAGACTTGACGTTGATTGACAGAACTATTGTCCTGCTGCTCAGTGTGACTAGTCGGTTTCTCTGTGGGGTTGAAGCACCACTGTGTGTGTGTGTGTGTGTGTGTGTGTGTGTGTGTGTGTGTGTGTGTGTGTGTGTGTGTGTGTGTGTGTGTGTGTGTGTGTGTGTGTGTGTGTGTGTGAGAGAGAGAGACAGATTGGTTGTGATGATCTGATGTGAAGTGTGAATCCCCTCCAACAGAGCGAGCCATTCTGCTGTCAGCACAGTCCTTGCTGCATGCAGAGACACACACAGGGCTGTCATTCACTCGCACAGAGATTTACAACACACAAGCACACACAAAGTTGTCTTTTACTCTCGGCGGCTGGACAAAACAAATTCAATATGCTGCTGATTTTGCTTAAACACTCACTGAATGGGTTTGAGGTGGTATAAAAAAATACTCCAAGCAGGAATTAATTACAGAACAATCCAAATAAATGTATTATTGAATGGTAATGAGAACAGGGCTAAGCAAATGTATGTTAGAACAAAAAAACATTCCTCAACGTCTAACATTGGTGTGAGATTTCTTTGGAGCTGAGCTGGAGTGGAGCATATGTTTTAAATTACTGATGTCTAAATTCCTCTGAATCTTGGGTAAAGAAATCTTAAGAATTTTATTATATGTATCTTGAAATTAAAACAAGTTACATACAGTAAACGCAGAATATTTGGTGTCAATCTTTAAACCTTAGGGACTATAAAATATATTGTGTTAAATCTCCTCTGCTATGGTCTGTTTGACTGAGCTGAATGTGTCTACCAGAATGAACTGAAATCAACTGTCTCTGCACTCCACAACTAAACCAGTGGAACAGCATCTGTAGTTTTAAGTCTCAGACACCATGTAATTATGAACAAACAGTTTGTCTAAGAACTGGTTTACAGACAATCTGTATCTGTCCTGTTCTTCTAAAAGACCAGAATTAGCTTTCTGTGCCTTTGACTGCTCGGAGACACTGTACACGGAGAGCCACAGCATGACAGTGAATGAAGCCATTCTGGATGGCAAATGTAACGTTCTAGTACCTGTCACCAAAACATAATTTAATGCCAGTCCCATTGAGCCCATTACAACCTCAACATTTTTCCTCTTTCCATTCATCAGTCCGTTTCTCTTTTACTGTGCATGCTTGTTATTGCAGAGGGTGTGGCTACTCCATGCCATAAAAGACCTTCCTGTTATACAACACCATAATGCTCATTCATTCCTGCGTTGACTTGTTTAGTCATCCTATCCACCATCCATCTGTCCTTCTCGCCCTCACTCTGACTTCTTGTTATTGAAAAGGGTGTGGCTGATGGATGCCATAGTACCACGAGGAGGCCGCATAGCCAAAGGAAAGAACGTAGGATTAAATGGGGCAAACGTTTTTCATATAATAAAGTTACTGTAGAATTGCAGCCAATGCTGTCAAGAGAAGAGTCTGGTTTCAGTTGATTATTCCATTTCCACTACCCACACTTCTAGATTTGATATGAGGCAAACAAGAGAACCACTATCTGCTCCTGACTACACGCACAGGTATGCTGCTATGGGTGTGATAGAAAGATTAAACTCTAGGACACACTCAAGTCAGATTTTGTGAGATTGTTGCAATACCCTCTTTTCCATATGCAACAATTCCACTGAAAGACATACGTCAAGAAAGAGACAGAAATGTGTCTGCAGGCATTGGCATTGCTCAAGATATGGGTATGGCAAAAGGTCTCCTCCCATGCCATGAGCATAAACAGGCAGAAATTCCAGGTGACCAAGTCTTGTAATTGTAACCGTTACACAATAGCAACATGAATGATGATCATGAGAAAGTTTTTTTGTTTATGTAGTTAAATAATTAGGTGGAAAAAAAGAGACATGCATGTTTCTCCATCTCAGAGCATCCATCTAGTCAATGGGGCCTCTGCCATTTCTGTCAGTTGCCGTGGAAACAGTGTATTTATGTTTGCATGTCTATTGCGAGTGAAAGTCTGAGTATTAGGCTTGAATAGTGTCAGGAGGGGACCCTTTGTTTTCTGCTTTGTATCACTTGCATGTCATGGCCTACTCCAGGGGAAGTATGATACACGGTCTAACCTAGAATGCCAATATACAGTTATACACAGCACTAAAGCGTATTGTAAGACAAGTCAATACTGTTGTTTGCTACTTCTTAAGGTATACATTTTAGCTGTTTTACACATATGACAGAGGTTTGCCCAAGGTCAATTCTGTGATTATATTCTATTTTATTTAGCATATTTTCGATTGTGATACTGTGCGAAAAGATTGTTCTTATTAATACTGATAATGATCTCGATGGCATTACTCAATACTAGCTCACATGCCATCAGAAGAAGTGTCAAGAGTTAGGATGTTGGCTAAAAGTGGATATCAGGCAAATCTGCCCTGTTTGTGGAAAGTTGTTGCTCTCATGATGAAGTGGCTGCTAACACACATCGTCTACTCTGTCTAGCACCGAGTGACCCCTGGATAGAAATAGCTCTATTGGCAGCTCCAGTTGTCTACCCCACACACACACACACACAGCGAGACACACACAAACACAAGTTTCAATTGCTTTACTCTCCGGCTCTCCGGCCAGACCGCTGCCGTGTGTGTAGTAGCATAGCTGGCTGTCAATAGAAATAGCTGCTGTGTGGCATGGTTGTTTCTGAGGCTTGTAATTATCCCAGCAGCACCAACACTTACCCAGTCAAAAACACACATATACACTTAAACGCTGTAAGCTCTACTCTTCAGTGCATCCGTGTACAAACGATGCCAAGCGGATGCTTTGCTTTGTTAACCTACAGAAGTAAGCGAGCAAGCAGTACTCGCTTACTTGAGAAAAAATGTGGCCACAAAATGCTTTAATGTTTCACAATATGTTGGCTAATGCATGATGTGGTAAGCATGCAAAAAAATAGTCCCAGGCCAAGACAATTAAAAATGTCCCACAATAGAGTATAAAGTCAAATAATGTTCTTGCAGCTGTTAGTTATTCCCTCTGTGTAATGTTTTAAAATGAAGAAAGGACTATATATTTTGATATAGAATCCTAACAATCTCTAGTTTCTGTGGGACATTCTGTGGGAACTAGTGTCTCTCTGGTCTATAGGGACATTTGTGACCGAGGTTACATATTTCCTTTAGAGAGAGAGAGAGAGAGAGAGAGAGAGAGAGAGAGAGAGAGAGAGAGAGAGAGAGAGAGTGTGTGTGTGTGTGTGTGTGTGTCTCTACATGTGTGAGAGAGATAGTATGGCAATTTGATGACGAGCTGCCAAGTCTGTCTCTGTCCTAAACCCCCCTCCAGACTGTTCCTTGGAATGTCACACTATGCTGACACAGAGTGTGTGAGAGTGTGCTAATGCATTTTGGAAGAAAGCAGAAAGAAGGTCTTTGAAAGGACACTACATTGAAATGTGTCAATGTGTTAGAAATGTAAAAGGCACTTTTTTTGTATCATTAGCTCCTATTTCACTGCTTAGCCTGTGTTCTCCTTTAGAACAGACATCCTGTGCAAGTGACCACTGTTTATTTTGGGCTAGTATTGCAATCAACTTACTTAAAAAATAAGCTTGCTCAACAGTTATCCCTCATCCTCACTCATGCTCTCTCCATGATTAAATAAGGCTTGAAGGACAAAGTTCCTTTGTTTGTGTTTATATAAACAGGAGACTCTTTCTGGTTGCCATGAGAACTATTTGATGAAATCTGACACCATCGAAAACGTTAGCACCAATGCAGCATCGACATGAAACTGGCGTCATCATTTCTGCCCTCACAAAATAAGGCTGTTATGTTAAAGCAGGTCTGATGCTTTGACCGCTAATTATATTAAAGAGAGGGAATTTGTCTCCACATCTAATATGCCTGTATTTATTTAAATGATCTCAAAAGGGAGTCTTGCATGTTAGCACAGATTACAGTCTATCATTAGAGGAAAGGTGATATGGTGAGAGAAATAAAAATACATCTGGGGAGATAGGGAATGGTGGGAAAGTGAAGTGTGCCAACATTGTTATGAAAGACAACCAAGAAACAGCGAGGAGAGAAGGATGAACACTATCAAGCAAAAGGGAAAATGATAAAAACTGGAGAAGGGGAGTGATTTGGTCCGGGTAGTTTGGACATGAAGCTCAGAGAGGCCCGCGAGCTGAAAGCAACTCTGAATGGGCACCAGATGGTCGCTGTTAACTACGGGCCAGTGGTTACACTGATAAGAGACTGGAGACCATACAGCTACACACACACACACACACACACACACACACACACACACACACACACACACACACACACACACACA